TGGCATATTCACACCATGCACATGGTAAAAATAAATGAGTTACAGTTATAAATAACCACATGAATGAATGCTGAGCACGCAATACTGAATGAAACAAAACTAGCTGCAAAAGAAAATGAACTGCATGATTCAACTGATATAAAGTTTAAAAACAGGCAAAACTAAACATGCTGTCCAATATGGTAACCACTGGCTACAGGGCTAACATGACTGAGGAACTAAATTTTAATTTAATTTAAATTTAAACTTAAATTGTCACCTGTCACTAGTGACCACCATACTGTACAGTCAGGTTTCTAAAGAGAATCAATGGACTACTAAGTACAAAATTCAGAATATTGGTTTTTTCTAAGGGAAAGGGAAAGGGACAGGGACAGGGACACGGGGGATTTCCAAAGTAACAATGATGTTCTTTTTCTTAAATAGGTATCCTTATATTGTTTTTATTCTTTAAACTGTACATAAACTGTACTATAAACATTCCTTCAAAAGGATTAAATATTTAACAAAACAAAAATAGTGAATGAGGTTGTGGGTACACAGAAGTTTATTTTGTTATTATTTAAAGTCTACATAATAAAATACTTTTATTAAAAAGATTTCTAGGTAAGACAGGAATAAAGATACAGACCTACTAGAGAACGGACTTGAGGATATGGGGAGGGGAAAGGGTGAGCTGGGACAAAGCGAGAGAGAGGCATGGACATATATACACTACCAAACGTAAGGCAGATAGCTAGTGGGAAGCAGCCGCATAGCACAGGGAGATCAGCTCGGTGCTTTGTGACTGCCTGGAGGGGTGGGATAGGGAGGGTGGGAGTGAGGGAGACGCAAGAGGGAAGAGATATGGGAACATATGTATATGTATAACTGATTCACTTTGTTATAAAGCAGAAACTAACACACCATTGTAAAGCAATTATACCCCAAAAAGATGTTTAAAAAACACAACAACAAAAAAAACCCTAAAAGGGTCCTCTCATGGCTTAAGATATAAATCTCGAGACGTTGAGCTCAAAACCCTGAACTAAAAATCAGGACGCAAGTTCTGAAAAATAGTAATTTCTACCATCTACTTAGGTTCTTTCCTCTCTTAAGGTTTACTCCCATGAGTTAGGTATGGGATCCCCCTTTTCAGCTGAAAAAAATAGAGCCTGAGAGAGGTTAAACCAAGTCACATACCTCTTCTTTCATTTTTGTTTACTCATTTGTTAGACGTCCGTATTTGCACATATTTGTTTGGCATTCACTGAATACTTGGGGGCACATTTATTGACTATCCACATATTTATCAGACATCCAGTAAATTTATTGTTCATCCACTATTCAAAAAAAAGATTTCTAGCACTAACTCAAGTGGAGCAAGGGACAACCAAGAAGAATAAAATCTCCCCTAACTCCAGACCCAATCAACCCTACCATCCTACATCCCCCCCCACACCCTACCCCAGGCCCCAGGCTCAGCACTAATGCCCTCATCCTCCTTCAAAGATAAGAGAAACAAGATGCATTATCTACTGCTATGTTACAAATTATTCCAAAACTTAGCAGCTTAAAACAACAAAATTTTGTTATCTCACAATTTCTGTGGGTCAAGAATTTTGAGTGTGGCTTGGGGGATGTCTCTGGCTTCAGGCCTCTCATGAGGTTGCATTTAGGATCTTATTAGCCAGAACCGTGGTCTCATCTGAAGGTTTGACCTGGGAAAGATCTGCTTCCTAGCTCACTCACGTGGTGTGGTTTGCTTCTTCATAGGCCGTTAGATTTACTATGACTGTAAGCTACTCCATAGGGCCATAGGGCAGCTCATAATATGGCAGCCGACTTCCCTCAGAGCAAGAGAGCTAGAGAAAATGTTCAAGACAAGTCACAATCTTTTTATAATCTAGTCTTGGAAGGGACAGCCCATCCCCTCTGCCACCATCTGTTTGCTACAAGCGTGTCACTAAATCTAGCCAACTTAGAGTTGCCAACCTAGGGGAGGGGGCTAACAAAGGGTATGAATACCAGAAGACAAGGCTAATTAAAGGCCATCGTGGTGGCTGCCTACCACACCAGAGAATATGTCTGTGGACTGGAGTGATCCCACAAAACAAGGAAGTAGCAATGCAGGAGAGAAGAGTGAAGACCTAGAGAAGGCAGAGGAAATCCAGGCCTAGGACCTTTGCATGTACCGGTCCACTGCATTTTTCATTGCTCTTTCATGACTTGGCTGCATGCACCTGTTTTTGATCAGGATGTGGAAAAGAAATCTGTTGAATGTCTGTCATCTGCCACAGCAAGACCAGTCATCTTGCCCTGCTTACAATGCCATCCCCAATCTGATCACATCCCTCCCCCACAGAAACACACCCCAACTGTGTCTCCCCCCTTTCAAGTATCATCTTTCACTCAACTATTTGGGGAAAAGTCAATTTGTTTCCTGTTCTGCCCCTGGGTTAGGTCAGTTCATGCTGCAACTTGTTTATCCAACACCACCTGCTTCCCTCCCACTGATTTCAGCTCAGCCCAGGAGCTTCTGTTCTCTTTCCACTTGTTACCACCTGTAAGGCTCAACTAATAGGCTCCTTTGATTTAATGCAGCCAACCATGACAAACTAGGAGGATGATATGAGAACAGCGCTGTCCTTTTGCTGACCCCTACTTTCATTCCCCACCATGTGACCAGCCTCCCAGACTACCACAAGCCCACACTGTGCCCTTGTTACTGAAGGAGTCAGGTTAACTGAGGAAACCTTTAGCACAGCTCAAGATAGCAATGATAAAACAATTTAAAACCAAACATTACACATCATTGTTCTTAAAAACCATGGGTCAACCCACCACAGTGAAACTCTCACAGATATCTTTTTGGCTTGGGCCTGGCCTTCTGCCATGTTGTTGGGCGGCCTGCCTCTTTCCTCTCTCCTCTCCTCTGCACACTGAAAAATTTCTCTTCATTATGCTGAGCATACTTATACCCCTAAGTACAAAGCAGGGTCCAAGCCTACTACTGCATATCCAAAACCATAGTAAATGGTTCTGCTAAAGGGAAGAAGGGTCATACACAATCCTGGACTCCAAAAAGAATCAAATCAAATACAAAACCAGGAAGAAGCCTTTAACTTAGTTTTTTCTCTTATATATCCTGATCAAAAATTTTAAGGCATGGTTTCTCTCTTCAGTCTCTGAAAGATAACAGAAAACAGTAATTAAAAAAAAACCCAAAAAACTAAAATTATACACACATTGTATTATTATTATTATGGTGGTTAATTTTATGTGTCAACTTGATAGGGCTAAGGGACGCCCAGATCACTGGTAAAATATTATTTCTGGGTGTGTCTGTGAGGGTGTTTCTGAACATTGCCATTTGAACTAGTAGACTGAGTAAAGAAGATCTGCCGTCACCACTGTTGGATGGGTATCATTCACTCCAATCCGCTGAGGGCCCAGACAGAACAAAAAGGTGCACAAAGGGCAATTTCTCCTTTCTTGTTGAGTTGGGACATCCATCTTTCCTGCCCTCCCACATCAGAGCTCCTGGTTCTCCAGGCTTTCGTTTGGGACTGAATTATACCACTGGTTTTCCAGCTTGCAGATGGCATATCATGAGACTTCTCGGCCTCCATAATTGTGAGAGCCAATTCCCATAAATAATCTCCTCTTATCTATCTCTATATATCCTATTGGTTCTGTTTCTCTGGAGAAACACAAATACATATCCATACCTTTGCTTAGTCTGTCTTCACTACATCTCCTTCCTCTTCTTGATCTTCCCCCTCTACCTAGGTCCAGCTCACATTCCCCTCCTGCAGGGAGCCTTCCCAGACTGCCACAGCCCACACCAATTCCTTGTGTCTGAATTCATATTAGGCTTGGGTGTCATGGCTTCCTTCTTTGTTCTCCAAGTGAATTACCCCTGATTTTCTCTTCTAGCCAAGTTATAAAGTTCTCTGGGTCAGAGGGCCAGGTCTTAACACACCTCCCATGATATGATACTTATTTTGGTGTATGGTACGTAGTATGAGGTTAATACCTACGTGTTCAGTGGATCGATTAACTGGAGCCACTTATCTGTGCTCTTTTCCCACAGTGTTTGTAATGTCAAGGGGCATCTTGGGGGTTCTGATGGTGCAAGGAATAATGTACCTCTCAGGCTGGGGACTGGAGTGTGTGTGTGTGTGTGTTTGGGGTAGGGGTGGTGCAGTGACCTTCAGTCAGGCTTTGTCCTCAACTTCCAGGCAGGTTCTTAAATTCTGGGGTTGGGGGGTGCGCTTGGAGGCATGAACCCGCGCCCCCTGTAGCGGAAGCATGGAGTCTTAACCACTGGACCACCAGGGATGTCCCTGCAGGTCCTTACATTTGATTTAATCAGCTCACCCTGAGGTGACCAGTCGAAGGTAAACTACTACAGAACAATTAATGATGAGATCAATGTGCATTACAGAAATTGGGCTCCCCCAACGCCCACATTGTCTCAAATCCCAACCTCTACACTTGCTTTGCCTTCTGCTTTACGTCTCCCTTCCCCAGCTTACCCACTTCAGTTTAGGTGCTCTTACTTCAGGAAGCCTTCCTGGCCTTGAAGTCTGAGCTGCTCCAGAGGTTCCAGCAGCTCCCCTCTCACCACAACAGTCCTACTGTACCATCTAAGTGTGTAGATCTGGCTCAGGAAGGTCTCGCCAGTTAGCGAATCCCGAGATCCTGGCTGAGGGCGAGACATTTCATTGGTCGCGTAACTAGAACACCGGCTGAGGCCTTGACTCATCCGGGCACTTCCGCAGCCTCACAGGCCTCAGCCCCCATCAAAACCCCTCGCCTACTTCGGTTGTGTGACGTTGCCCCCCACCCCGTCCCCTGCACCTAGCCAGCCGCACAGCTCCCGCGTCGCCCACCTCGCCCACCTCCTCTGCCGGGCTGCTCAGGCCGAGGGCCCACAGGCTCGCGGGGTGGGGGAAGGGGGCAGGGGGGGCGGGCAGGAAATGCCTGCCGCCATCTTGCCCACCAGGAGTTCCGACATGGGGCTGGGACTCCTGAGCGCAGCGCTGTTGTTTCTGGGGGGCGCTCTCATATGCTCAGAACACTACCCACTCTCTGAAAGGAGTGGGCATGGCTCCTCGCGGGAACAGGCCGGAGGTCGGAGGTGGCCTGAAGCCATGAGTGGGAGGCCCAGGGCGCAGGAGCCCCAGGCCCCGGAAGAGGAAGGGTTGAACGCAAAGGGCAGTATCTGTTCGTTCTTCTCTTTGGACGGTCGTCCTTGCCTTTTCCCCACTTAAGTAGTATTTGAATTTGGGGCCCTCCTTTTCTGTTTTTCCAGCTGCCTTTAACTAAAAATTTACGGATCCAAGCAGCCCGATTTTAATGACTGGAGTAGTAGTACTAATAGTAAAAATGCCATACACTTCTGCGTCTGTATATGCGCCTCAAAACATTCTGGGCTTTGTCATTCCCATTTTACAGACTAATAATTCATTGGAATTCAAAGATGAAAGGGCTGTTAGGTGACTTTTTCATACTACAGTTAAGAAGAATTAACCCAACAAGTTAAATGGCAAGTATTAGAACTTGTAGCTCTTGGTTGACCAGTCCCAGGCTCTTTTAGTGGCCGTTTCACACGGGGGAAAAATACGATACCTGGCCAGAGAAACTTGCCTCATGGTTATACTTCTCAGGAGAAGAGTTTTAAAGTGGATGAATTGTGCTGATTTAATGTCTTTCTATTTGTGAGTAAGCAATTAAGGCATGTTTGTCTCAGCTCTCTAAGATCTTTTTTCAAAATATGGGCATGGCTTAGGTATCCAGCTTGCTTTATGCGTTTTTTAAACAGGGATTTCAAATATTACATTAACGTGTTAAGATTATAAAGTAATACATATAATAATATGTTCAGTCCAAATAATGTATCATTTTTATTTTTAGATTGTGGAACAGCACCACTTGCAAGTATGTTCCAGGGGTCTCGGATTGTAGGGGGCACAGAAGCTCAAATTGGCGCATGGCCATGGCTAGTTAGCCTACAGATTCAATCTGGCAGATATCGTGCTCATGTATGTGCGGGAAGCTTGGTGAAAAATAGATGGGTCCTCACGGCTGCCCACTGCACTAATAAGGACACTAGGTATGTATTCAGAACAGAACTCTTATTTTATGCTCTTGGGGGATATTTTGAAGTGGCGGAGGACCACTTGACTTCAGCCATGTTCAGTTAAGCGATATGTTTCCAGGTAGCCATAATGCCTTACACTGAATAGTACACTGAATATTTGTTGAAATAAATCCTTTAAGTCAGAGGTCAACAAACGTTTTCTGTAAAGACAGTAAATATTTTAGGCTTTGCAGGCCAGACTCAACTCTGTCACAGTAGAACCAAAGTGGTCATAGATGATACATCACTGAATGAGTGTGCTGTGATGCAGTAAAACTATTTATGAACGCTGAAATCTGAACAAAATCCTATTTTGTCATTTTGGGTTTTCCCCAACCATTTAAAAGTGTAAAAAACATTCTTTGTTTATGGGCTATATTAAAATAGGAGACAGGCCAGATTTGGCCTGTGGGTTGTAGTTTGTTGGACCTTGCTTTAAATAATAAATAGCATTTCTTTTAGCTTTAAAAATTACTGTATTGTAATCATGTATTTGTCTTTCTCACCATTAGATCATGGTGAGACAAGTCCATGAAGACAAGGACTACATGTTTTATTTTGTATTTCTGGTACTAATACAGGAGTTGGCCTGGTTTGCAGGAGACATAATAAATATTTATTGAGTCTATGGATGATGTCAGTCTTGGAGAAATCGATTTACCACAGTTGTAATAGAACTTTATGACCCTCCTAACATTTAAAATGAAGCTCTAAGATAAATACTGTGGAAAACCGTGGTACCTGTCATACAGTCTCTCTTTAGTCTCTAATTTTTATGAGCTATCTGGGAGAAGAATGAAAAGTCTCTAAGAAAAACTAACAACAACTTCAAAATTCAACTGAGGGTAACTGGCCTGATGGGGTTCCTAAGGTTTTAATCTTTTAATCTGTTTACCGCATTTTAAAAACATGCATTTCAGTTCCATAAGTTGGCCTCTTGAGGACTAGAGATCAGAAAAATGGGAAGCTATTGAGGTATAAACCCAAGGGTATAGAAAAAGATGTAGAAAACAGCTTCAGAGTTAGAAATCAATTCTGGTCTTTCAGGTGTGGGTGTCTTACAACTCTTTCCTAAAATGCTGTCTTTAAAAACTGCTTTTCAACAGCTTTCAAACCTTAAACCAAGGAAGGAAAAGCCTGCTTGGTATGATTTGAAGATTCTTGGAAAAGCTCTTCTCACCTATTAAGTCCTGATATTGGGCCTTTACTAGTCTGTTCCTTTTTTTTTTTTGCGGTACGCGGGCCTCTCACTGCTGTGGCTTCTCCCGTTGCGGAGCACAGGCTCCGGACATGCAGGATCAGCGGCCATGGCTCACGGGCCCAGCTGCTCCGCGGCATGTGGGATCTTCCCGGACCGGGGCACGAACCCACGTCCCCTGCATTGGCAGGCGGACTCTCAACCACTGCGCCACCAGGGAAGCCCTAGTCTGTTCCTTTGACACGTGGGGAGAACAATGCATTTGGAGAGGGGCGACCTGTATACTAGTCCTCCTCTGACACTTTGTGGTACAGTGGCTTTAAGTAAGATTCCAGAACCTACTAGATGTACCACCTTGGTCAAATAATATAGCTTTGTTATATTGTCATAAAATCTTAGAGTTCAAAGAGGTATTATAAAGGTGTGGTTCAATTCTCTGTCCTGTATATGAATCCTTCTTAAAATATTGAAGTAAAGGGTTCTCTAGTCTGAAATAATTATTGCTTTAATGCATTGAGTCAGGCATATTTTCAGACACAATTTCCACTACTCTTCACAACCACTCTTTACTGTAGGGAGACCCTGACTGGAAAACAGTGAAATCAGGGATCAAATCCAGGTGTGTCATAATGAAAATCCACACACATAACCATAACTATATCATTTGGCTCTCTACTTGAAACACCTCTTGTGATGATGAACTGCTACCTTGGAAAGAATTTCATTTAAGTTTTGTGCAGCTTTATTTCTTAGAAAGCCTTTCCTTATGTTGAACTAAGTGTCTTGATTTTCATTCTGCCTTCTGAAGCCATATATATTAAACCTCATTACTCTTCCAAGCATTTGAAGATAATATTAATATTCCACTTAACAGTTCTCAAGGCTAAATCTTATTGATATTTTTACCCCTTTACTCAACAGACATTTACTAAATGTATATTATATACTAGGGACTGGGCTAGGTGCTGAGGAAGTCGACATTACTGAGGCATAGTCTGTATTTTTCAGGAGTACCTCCTGTCTCAGAAGACTCTGCCACTTCTATTCCTGTTCCCCCTCATTTCCTAAACCTTGCACCATCAGTTATCCCTTATTCCTTCTTATAACATGAAAGACCCGCTCTGAGATTAGGTACTGTTTAAGAATGTTACATATAACTCTGTATTTTAAAAAAGCCCTCCCAGTAGCCCTCTGAGATAGCTGTTATCTCCATTTCACACCTGAGGAGTCAGAGATCACAGATATTTGGTAATTTTCCCAAGACCACATTGCTGTAAAGTGGCAACCTATTGATTTAAACCTAGTCTCAAGTCTATAGCTGTTTCGTTACACCTCATTGTCTCTTTAGTATTTTTCAATATTTTCCTCTTGCTTCTTCCCTACAGCCTTCAAGCATGTTTAGGTCACCTCATCGTTATTTAGCAAACAAACAAACCCTACCTGTTTCTATTCTTCCTTTCACTACTAGACTCCTTGAAAGAAAGACTCCCTTTTGCTTCACCTGCATTGACTCATAAAATCCCAATTGCAGTCTGATTTTTGTAGCCAGAACACACTATTAAAGACCCACCTCTATGCCAAATCCAATGACCTCTACTCAATCCCCATCCTATTTCATCTGTATAACATTTGGCAAAGTTGACTGCTGTTCTACATCTTTTTTTTTTTTTTTTTTTTTTTTTGGCCATGCCGCACGGCTTGTGGGATCTTAGTTCGCCAACCAGGAATTGAACCCGGGCCCTCAGCAGTGAGAGCTCGGATTCCTAGCCACTGGACCGCCAGGGAATTCCCTCTGATCTCTTTTCTTGATTTTTAAGACACCACTATTCTCTACCTTAAAAAAATTTTTTTCCTTATTCCTTGAGTCTTTGTCTTCTTTTAAGTGGCAGTATTTTCAAGAGTTCCACCTTCTATCCTCTTGCCTTATCATCTGTACTCTTCCCTAGAGATGTCTCATCTACTTCTGTTTTAGGAGTCACCATGTCCTGGCAACTCCCAAGTCTCTCCAGCTGAGTCGTAGTTCCAGCTCCCTACTGTACGTATATACTGGAGTCACATTCCCAACAAGTCCAAACATGAACTTTTAAACTCTTTCCTCTAGAGAACAGTCTCAGCAGCCCTGAAGGCTTTCAGGTCGTTAATAAGTCCTCAGGCCCCTGCTAGCACAGGGAGCTTCATGGACCTGTCAGCAATTAAGGAACAAAAGTCATGAAGATTTACATAAACTTTGGTATGTTCTCCTGAAAGAAACATGCTCCTAACTCTAGAGCAGGAGGCTAAGCGGCAGAGATTGCCAATGCCAAGTCTGAAGCAGTTAGAAAAGGTAGTAGATTCCATGGATACATTAGATAAAGTTGTCCAGGAAAGGGAAGATGCCCTCAGAATTCTTCAGACTGGTCAAGAAAAAGCTAGACCTGGTTCTTGGAGAAGAGACATCTTTCGAAGAATCATCTGGCACAAGTTCAAGCAGTGGCCTATACCTTGGTACCTAAATAAAGGAAACAATAGAAAACGATTCTTTGCAGTGCCCTAGGTGAAACGTTTTGTCAGATTGAGAATTGAGAAACAAGCCTGCATCAAAGCAAGGAAGACAAGTTTAGCAAGCAAGAAAGAAAATTTTCTTCAGGAAAAGTTTCCACATCTTTCTGAAGCCCAGAAATCAAGTCTTATCTAAGACATCTGAACTTTTAATTTACCATTTTGTTTTTCTTGGATTACAATCTATATACAAAAGTGAATACATACTAAGTGGTTTATAAATAACTTGTGTTTTTAGTCAAATGACTATCAACTGGGACTACCCTGGTGGCGTAGAGGTTAAGAATCCGCCTGCCAATGCAGGGGACATGGGTTCAAGCCCTGGTCCAGGAAGATCCCACATGCCGCAGAGCAACTAAGCCCGTGTGCCACAACTACCGATCCTGTTCTCTAGAGCCTAAGAGCCACAACTACTGAGCCTGCCTAGAGCCCATGCTCCATTGAGAAGCCATCGCAATGAGAAGCCCACACATCGCAACAAAGAGTAGCCCCTGCTCGCTGCAACTAGAGAAAGCCTGCGCACAGAACGAAGACCCAACACGGGCAAAAATAATTAATTTTTACAAACTGACTATCAACTGTTCTAAGTGTTATTATGGCATGCTAAATCTGGAAGTGGTCAAAATCAGGTATAAAGTTTAAATTCCCATCTTATTAAAAAAAAAATCTTCCCTCTAATTCTATCCCTTCTCTATTTTCTCAGATAACAGCCTCACCAACAGTCCCATTACCTCGACAGTTAGCTGACTCTCTCTGTGCGGTATCTCTTAAATTTGCTTCTTTTTGTCCCCCAATACTCCCCACTGATGAGAAGTAGATTCAGAATACCAGTCTCCATATCCCTAGTTCATTACTTACACTATTACTATGGTAACTATCTGAATGAGCATGAAGTGGTATCTCATTGTGGTTCTGTTGTTTTAATTAATTAATTTATTTATTTTTGGCTGCGTTGGGTCTTCATTGCTGCGCGCAGGCTTTCTCTAGTTGCGGCGAGTGGGGGCTACTTTTCGTTGCGGTTCATGGGCTTCTCATTGCGGTGCTTCTCTCGCTGCGGAGCATGGGCTCTAGGCACTCCGGCTCAGTAGTTGTGGCTCACAGGCTCTACAGCACAGGCTCAGTAGTTGTGGCGCATGGTCTTAGGTGCTCCACAGCATGTGGGATCTTCCCGGACCAGGGCTTGAACCCATGGTCCCCTGCATTGGCAGGTGGATTCTTAACCACTGCGCCACCAGGG